CTCTGAGGCTCTGTGATGTCACCTGAATGGTCTCTCTGTCACTCTGTGATGTCACCTGAAGTTCTCTCTGTGGCTCTCTGATGTCACCTGAGGGTTCTTCTGTGGCTCTGTGATGTTAACTGAAGGGTCTCTCTGTGGCTCTGTGATGTCACCGGAAGGGTCTTTTTGGCTCTGTGATGTCACATTTCGGGTCTCTCTGTGGCTCTGTGATGCCACCTTAAGGGACTATCAGTGGCTCTGTTATGAAACCTGAAGGGTCTCATTGTGGCTCTGTGATGTCACATGAAGGGTGTCTCTATGGCTCTGTGATGTCACCTGAAGTGTATCTTTGTGACTCTGTGATGTCAACTCATGGGTCTTCTTGGCTCTGTGATGTCAACTGAAGGAACACACTGTGGCTCTGTGATGTCAACTGAAGGGTCTTTCCAGTGACTCTGTGATGTCACCTGAAGTGTCTTTCCTGTGTCTCTGTGATGTCACCTGAAGTGTATCTTTTTGGCTCTGTGATGTCACCTGAAGGGTGTCTCTGTGGCTCTGTGATGTCTCCTGAAGGGTCTCTCTATGGCTCTGTGATGTCTCCTGAAGGGTCTCTCTATGGCTCTGTGATGTCTCCTGAAGGGTCTCTCTATGGCTCTGTGATGTCTCCTGAAGGGTCTCTCTATGGCTCTGTTTTGTCTACTCAAGTGTCTCTCTGTGGCTCTGTGATGTCACCTGAAGGGTCTCTCTATGGCTCTGTTTTGTCTACTCAAGTGTCTCTCTGTGGCTCTGTGATGTCACCTGTAGGATCTATCTGTGGCTCTGTGATGTCACCTGAAGGGTCTCTCTATGGCTCTGTTTTGTCTACTCAAGTGTCTCTCTGTGGCTCTGTGATGTCACCTGAAGGGTCTCTCTATGGCTCTGTTTTGTCTACTCAAGTGTCTCTCTGTGGCTCTGTGATGTCACCTGAAGGGTCTCTCTATGGCTCTGTTTTGTCTACTCAAGTGTCTCTCTGTGGCTCTGTGATGTCACCTGAAGGGTCTCTCTATGGCTCTGTTTTGTCTACTCAAGTGTCTCTCTGTGGCTCTGTGATGTCACCTGAAGGGTCTCTCTATGGCTCTGTTTTGTCTACTCAAGTGTCTCTCTGTGGCTCTGTGATGTCACCTGAAGGGTCTTTTCTTTGGCTCTGTGTTGGCCCCTGAAGTGTCTTTCCTGAGGCTCTGTGATGTCACATGAAGGGTCTCTCTGTGGCTCTATGATGTCACCTGAAGGGTCTCTGTTGCTCTGTGATGTAACCTAAAGGGTCTCTCTGTGGATCGGTGATGTAAACTGAATGGTCTCTCCCTGGCAATGTGATGTCACCTGAAGGGTCTCCCTGTGGCTCTATGATGTCACCGGAAGGGTCTTTTTGGCTCTCTGATGTCACATTTCGGGTCTCTCTGTGGCTCTGTGATGTCACCTTAAGGGTCTTTCAGTGGTTCTGTTATGAAACCTGAAGGGTCTCATTGTGGCTCTGTGATGTCACATGAAGGGTGTCTCTGTGGCTCTGTGATGTCACCTGAAGTGTATCTTTGTGGCTCTGTGATGTCACCTCATGGGTCTTCTTGGCTTTGTGATGTCAACTGGAGGGTCTTTCCAGTTGTTCTGTTATGTGAACTGTCATGTCTTTCCTATGGCTCTGTGATTTACCAATAGTGTCTTTCCTGTTAGTTCCTGACATCACAAAAAGGTCTAGCATGTGCCTCTGTGTTATCAACAGAAGTGTCATTACTGTGACTCTGTAATGTCACCAATAGTGTCTTTCCTGTGGCTCTGTGATGTCACCTGAAGGGTCTATCTGTGGCTCTGTGATGTTACCTGAAGTTCTATATGTGGTTTTTCTATCTCACCTAAAGCTCTCTCTGTGTCTCTGTGATGTCAACTCAAGGGTCTCTCTGTGGCTCTGTGATGTCACCAGAAATGTCTTTCCTGTTGCTCTGTGATGAAACCTGAAGTGTCATTCCTATGGCTCTGTGATGTCACCAATAGTGTCTTTCTTGTGGCTCTGTGAAGTCACCTGAAGGGTCTCTCTGTTGCTCTGTGATGTCACCTTAAGCTTCTCTCTGTGGCCCTGTGATGTCAGCTGAAGAGTCTATAAGTGGCTTTGTGATGTCACTTTAATGGTCTCTATGTGGCTATGTGATGTCACCTGAAGGGTCTCTCTGTGGCTCTGTGATGTCACCTGAGCGGTCTCTCTGTGGCTCTGTGATGTCACCTGAAGTGTCTCTCTGTGGCTCTGTGATGTCACCTGAATGATCACTCTGTGGCTCTGTGATGTCACCTGTGTGTATTTCTGTTACTGTGATGTCACCTGAAGGATCACTCTGTGTTCGTTGATGTCAACTGAAGGGTCTTTCTTGAGGCTCTATGATGTCACAAAAAGTGTCTTTCATGTTACTCTGTGACATCAACTGAAGGGTCTATCATGTGCCTCTGTGATAGCAAAAGAAGTGTCATTTCTGTGGTTCTGTGATGTCACCAATAGTGTTTTCCTGTGTCTCTGTGATGTCACCTGTAGGGTCTCTCAGATGGCTCTGTGATGTCACCTGAAGCATCTCTCTGTAGCTCTGTGATGTCACCAGAATGTTCTCTAAGGGGCTCTGTGATGTAACCTGAAGCTCTCTCTGTGGCTCTGTGATGTCACCTGAAATATCTTTCCTGTAGCTCTAAGATGTCATGTGAAGTGTCTCTCTGTGGCTAGTGATGTCACCTGAAGGGTCTATCTGTGTGTCTGTGATGTCACATGAAAGATCTCTCTGTGGCTCTGTGATGTCACCTGAAGTGTCTCTGTTGATCTGTGATGTCACCTGAAGGGTCTCTCTGTGGATCGGTAATGTCAACTGAATGGTCTCTCTGTGGCTATGTGATGTCACCTGAAGTGTTTCCCTGTGGATCGGTGATGTTAACTGAGGATCTCTCTGTGGCTCTGTGATGTCACATGAAGTGTCCCTCTGTGATGTCACCTGAAGTGTCTCTGTTGATCTGTGATGTCACCTGAAGGGTCTCTCTTTGGCTCTGTGATGTCACCTGAAGGGTATTTCCTGTGGCTCTGTGATGTCACAAATAGTGTCTTTCCTTTTGCTCTGTGACATCACCTGAAGGGTCTAGCATGTGCCTCTGTGATGTCACCTGAAGGGTCTCTCTGTGG